GTCATCAAACCAGCCCTCTGCCCAAGGCAGGACCAATCCCAACTAAATCAACCCAGCCAGGGCTTTGTCAAGCCGAGACTTAAAAACCTGTAGGGATGGAGATTCTACCACCTCCCTTGGTAACCCATTCCAGTACTTCACCACCCTCCTAGTGAAATAGTTTTTCCTAATATTCAACTTGGACCTCTCCCACTGTAACTTGAGACCATTGTGCCTCGTTCTGCCATCCATCACTACTGTGATCAGCCTTTCTCTATCCTCTTTGGAACCTCCCTTCGGAAAGCTGAACGCTGCTGTCAAATTCCCCTTCACGGTTTTCTTCTGCAGACTAAACAAACCCAAATTCTTCAGTCGCTCCTCATAGGTCTTGCGCTAAAAGGCTGCTATCAAATCCCCCCTCACTCTTCTCTTCTGCAGACTAAACAAACCCAAATTCCTCAGTCTCTCCTCATAGGTGATATGTTCCAGCTCCCTAATCATTTTGGTTGTCCTCTGTGGGACCCTCTCCAATGCATACACATCCTTTCTCTAGTGGGGGACCCAGAATTGGACACAATACTCCAGATGTGGCCTCACCAGAGCCGAATAAAAGGGAATAATCACTTCTCTAGATCTGCTGACAATGCTTTTCTTAATGCAACCTAATATGCCATTAGCCTTCTTGGCTACAAGGGCACACTGTTGACTCACATCCAGCTTCTCATCCACTGTAATTCCCAGGTCCTTTTCTGCAGAACTGCTACTTAGTCGGTCCCCAGTCTGTAACTATGCTTGGGATTCTTCTGTCCCAAGTGCAGGACTCTACACTTGTCCTTGTTGAACTTCATCAGATTTCTTTTGGCCCAATCCTTTAATCTGTCTAGGTTATTCTGGACCCTATCCCTGACCTCCAGCATATCTACCTCTCCCCCTAGCTGAGTGTCATCTGCAAACTTGCTGAAGGTGCATTCCATCCCCTCATCCAGGCTATTAATAAAGATGTTGAACAAAAGCAGTCCTAGAACAGATCCTTAGGGCACTCCGCTAGAAATCGCCCGCCAACCTGATATCGAGCCGTTGATCACTACCCATTGGATCTGACGGTCTAGCCAGCTTTCTATCCATCTTACAGTCCATTTATCCAATCCATGCTCTCTTAACTTGCTGGCAAGAATATTGTGGGAGACAGTATCAAAAGCTTTGCTAAAGTCAAGGTATAGCACATCCACTGACTTTCCTATATCCACAGAGTCAGTTACCTCATCATAGAAGCTAATCAGATTAGTCAGGCATGACTTGCCCTTTGTGAATCCATGTTGTCTATTCCTGATCACTTTCCCCTCTTCCAAGTGCTTCAAAATGGATTCCTTGAGGATCCCCTCCATGTTTTTTCCAGGGACTGAGGTAAGGCTGACTGGTCTGTAGTTCCCTGGATGATCCTTCTTCCTTTTTTTTAAAGATGGGCACTACATTTGCCTTTTTCCAATCATCTGGGATCTCTTCCAATCTCCAGATAATGGCCAAAGGCTCTGCAATTACATTTGCCAACTCCCTCAGTACCCTCGGATGCATTACATCCAGACCCATTGATTTGTGCATGTTTAGCTTTTCTAAATAGTTTCTAACTTGTTCCTTGCTTGTATTACTATAACCCGCTCAGAGCCTTAGTTGTGGAAGAGGACCCATTGTCCTAGATGCAGTATAAGGGCTTACACTTACAATTGAATTATAAGACAAGTGACACCTGATGAATCCAGACAAACAGAGTATTACAAAGAAATGATGAGACAATATTTGGCAGCATAAAAGGAGTGATCTCAGATCCCTATAATTTAAGAATTGTCAAGTTTTGGTAGGCATTATGGCAAAAGAGAATGTTAAGGAGGGATCTGAAGGAGCTTGAGGTAGTGAAGGTTGACAGGGAGCTCCTTACAAGGAGAATAGTGATAGAGATGCAGCCGTGTTAGTCTGGTGTAGCTGAAACAAAAGACAGAACTATGTAGCACTTTAAAGACTAACAAGATGGTTAATCTTGGCAAGACCCACTTCCTCAGATCAATATGTGGAAGAAAATCGACACCACCATATATACCAAAGTGATACAATAAAAAAAAAAGAACACATGTGAGATTGACAAATCAAATTTTAGAACAGAGTGGGTGTGAGGGGGGAAGGTTAGTTTCTGTGAGGTAATGACATGGGGTGATCTTAAGATAGCTTCCCTAGTTATCACACCTAATGTCATAAAAGCAGGACCAACCCCAACTAAACCACCCCAGCCTGGACTTTGTCAAGCTGGGACTTAAAAACCTTTAGGGATGGAGATTCCAGCACCTCACTAGGTAACCCATTCCAGTGCTTCACCACCCTCCTACTGAAATAGTAAAACAGTCAAGCCTGCATGAGCACGGCCATCACCATGGATTTCCCCACACCTAACTGGTTCCCCACAGAGTGGTAGCTATCCAGCATGGCAAGCTTCCAGAGCACAATAGCGATGCACTTCTGCAGGGGCATGGCAGGTTGCACACAGGTGTCCTGTCACCTGAGGGCAGGAGCGAACCACTTGCAGAGCTCCAGGAAGGTAGCCTTCCGCATGCAGAAGTTCTGGAGTCACTGCTAGTCATCCCACCATTGCAGGACAATGTGGTCCCACCAGTCAAAACTGGTGTCCCTCCACCAGAAATGGTGTTCCATGGTGTGCACAGGATGGAGGAGAAATTGGTGCATCAGGAGCGCTAGGGCCTGGGTGAAGTGGTTCCCCGGTCCGGGTTGGTCATCGTGGTCCTGAAACACCACATGGGTAGCCTGCATGAACTGCACCATGAGGCACAGCATGAGGCCCAAGAGCCTAGCACTGCTTTGCAGCAGCTCTGGCTCCATGGTGTCAGTGCTGTGGCATCCGCAAGGGTGTAGGCAGTTGAGAAGTGGAGTGTGAGATGCGGCTGTAGAGAGGAGCCCCTTTAAGCATGAGTCTCAGATAGCCTCAGAAAGCAGCTACAGGAAGTGAGTGCTCTCCTGATGCCCTCCCCGGAGTGCTTCCAGGGAGCTTTAAATGCATTTCAGGCTCCAATTGGTGTGGATGCACTAGTTCTAAATTATTCTGTGTTATTTCGATGGTGCCTTGTAGTGAGGATACTCTATTTCAAAATACTTATTTTGAGAGTTATTTCAAAATAGGTTATTTCTAAATAATTTCCCAGTGTAGAAATGCCCAAAGAAACTATATATTGCTTCCAAGGGCTCCTGAAGAGAGAAAGGGCCCTGCTAAGACATCTCTGGGCATAAGGTAGTGCCTGCAAAATGGCACCTGTGCTACAGCAGAGAGTTGAACAGGAAGCATAAACACATATGGCTAAAAGGCTATGAAGATCAGATTAGTGTGCAGTATATGAGATGGACTTGTGCTAATGGCTCTGAGAAAGAAAACACAATATACTTCTGCAATAGCCTCCTAGTAGCATGACAACAGGATGACAAATGAAATGTGAAAATGAGAAAATTTTACATTCTCGATTTCACTTTCTGGTCTGTTAAAACACCTGGGGCACTGAAGCAAGGAGAGAAAACAAGCTGTGAGCTTTCTCCACCACTCTTCTATATTCATGAGAGTCTCCATTCTTTTTATGCTGCCCACCTCTTTACAGTGGGTCAGTGGGTCCACTCCATGAATCTGGCTCTATATTCAAGCAGACTCTCTTTTTATGATAACAGTGCATCTCCTTTCTCCATTAATACAATTGTGATAAATGCTCTTACTTCAGAAGTGCGAGTTTGAATGTATAAGGTAATTCTAGAGGACTAACTCACTTGTCCCATTTATCACACTATCACCTTTTCCTTTTTTACATAATACAAAAGTTATTTTCCCACACTTCTCAAGATAGTTAGGATTATTTTAGTACTTGTTTTTCAGGCTGGAATAAAATAAATGTTCTTGTATTGTCTTATTAAGTATCATTAAACTTTGTCATTATGCTATGTCTCAATCAACTAAAAGACTACATTTGCTTTTGATATGTTTCTGTGCTTTCCAGCCATGATCATGGACTACTCAGAAAGCTGTATTTATCTCATGGATTAAATCAGAGGTGCATACAGTGGAAGTTCTATTTTAGTTCCTTCCTATGGGCCAGAAGTATGATTTTTGCCAGATTTTTTTTTCCTTGCCCAATAAGAAATGAGTTTTGATATAGAGGTGCTTGATTCCTATAAGTCAGTTTATTAAAAGAAGGCTACTGCTGAATGTACAAAACTTAACATGTTATTTATCTTATTTAACAGAGTTAGTGAATGCAAGTTGTTAGCTAAGGTTGTCTAAGTTTTTCCATTTCAATTTTTTTAACTGTTTATGATAACCAAATTTTCATCGTTTAGTCTGAAAGTTAGCAGGTCTTGTCTGTCTTGTTTTTTCTTTTTAAATTTGGGGTAAAACTACTTAGACTTGTGAGTTGGCAGGCAGTGAGAGGAAAATACACTTTTACATTATAAAAGAAGTCTGAGGGGGTATCCCTGTTAGTCTGTAACTTTAAAAACAACACAGTCCTGTGGTACCTTAGAGACTAACAAGCATAAATAGTCATGAGCTTTCATGGGTAAAACCCACTTCATCAGATGAATTGGAGTGGAAATAACGTAGATCGATATAGATATAGATATATATCAGCAGAAGAAGTACCTCTCAATTGTAGGACCAATGCTAATGAGGCTAATTAAGTGAACTGGAAGTATCCAATATTTAGCTTTTAATGTAAAAATGCAGTGTTAAAGGCAAGGGAGACTGGCTTTATAATGTGACATCCAGATAATGTATTTGTTCAACCAGAGAAACTGTCAAATTTGCAGATGAATACCAATTCGGCACTTTCTCTCTGTAGTTGGCTGGTAAAAGTCCTTTGCAGAAGAATGGTTACTTTTAAATCCATGATTGAGTACCCAGGCAGGTTAAAATATTCACCTGCAGGTTTATGTGCTTTACCATTTCTGATGTCTGATCTGTGTCCATTTATGTTTTGTTATAGAGATTGTCAGGTTTGGCCAATATACCTGGCAGACGGGCATTGCTGGCACTTGATGGTATGTATCACATTAGATGAGGTGCAGTTCTATGAGTCCCTCATGTTGTGGCTTATGTGGTTAGGTCCTGGGAAGGGGTCGCTTATATAGATATGTGGACAGAGTTGGAAATGGGGTTTATTGCAGGGGTAGGTTCCTGGGTGAGTGTGTCTGAGGTGTGATGTATGGCTGGTGGGAAGGATTTGCTTCAGGTTGGGGGGTTGTCTGTAGGTAAGGATTGACCTGTCTCCCAAAGCCTGTGAGAGTGAGGGATGGTTTTCCAGGATAGGTTGTAGAACTGTCAATAATGCACTGGAGGTTTTAAGTTGGAGGCTGTAGATGATGACCAGTGCTATTCCGTTATTTTTCTTGTTGGGCCTGTCTTGAAGTAGTTACTTTCTGGGTACTTGTCTGGCTCTGTCAATCTGTTTTCTCACTTTCCCAAGTGGGTATTTAAATTTTAAGAATGTATTTTAAGTTTTAAGAAAAATGCAGAAGTTTTTAAAAATAGCTTCACAGACTTAATAAGGGATGGTAGAAATCTGCAACAGAGTAAGGCACCTTTAAGTGGTCCAGTGAAAATTCATTTTGATATGACCAAGTCATAACAATTAGAAACCTACTCCACATATACACACTAATTCTACCCTAAAACAATTTTTGTTTGTTTTTAAATAGCCTTAGCTCTGTCCTGTCACTGATTCTTTTGTGTTGGCAAACTGAGTGAAAAAAATCAGCCTTGGAAGAAACATATAGAATAAGGATGATTGAACACACTATGGAATGAGCTAGGGATGGAAGATGTTTGAAGGTGAATATGGAATAAGGCAGGACTTACAAAAGATTTTACCTCAGTGTGCACCTTGTTCAGGACCCAGCACTCTACTGCTGTCTAGAAAGTAATTCCACCTGAGCGGAAACAAGATTAAAATCCACTGTTTTGCACAAATTTTCATCCAAAATCTTGAACATTTCCCCAAGGAGCCTTTCCCTGGAACTTCCTGGTTAGTTACTGGACTTCACTATTCTGGATAGCTAACCTGAACCACAGGCTAAGACAATGAGTGAAAGGGGTCCTCTTTAATGGTACCTGCTGGAAACAGAAATGTCTGCAATGACATCCTGTATCAGATCTCATGAGTTAAGCAGGACTGTAATGAGTCAGTACTTGGATGAGAACTTGCTAAGTGGTTGGCTTCAACTGGGACAGTTGTGTGTGATTCAGTGGTGCTCTTCATTCTGAGTCACTTCTAAAGCAGAAGGCACTGTTGGAGGAGATGTAAAATTGAATTCTTTAGTTTATTTAAGATCTCATACCACAGTTTGAGAGCTGCTAAATTAAGTGGTTTTGTGTGTCTAATTCTAAATGTTAATTATATTCTGGTGACCTAAATTTCCCCAGTTTTTATTGAAGATATACCTTTGCCTACAATTGTGTAGCTTTTCTGAGTGCATTTAAAAGGTAGCTCCCCCTGCATTTCTATAGTGGATGAAGTGATCCCTGTGAATAATTTGCACACCCTCTTATTAAGATTGTTAGAAGAAAAGGTGATCTTTAAATATAAGAGTATCCTATACCTGGCTTTCAGTCCTGTACTGATAAATCGTTATGCAACAGATACATTATCTAGGGCCATACCGTCCAACACTTTAGCCACTAGCCACAGGTAGCTATTTGACCAGTTGAGTCTGGCTAGCTGGCTCACAAAATTATTTACATTTTCAGAATGTGCCTAGTTCACTATAGCTTCAGAAATGGTGGATACAAGTGTTTTTTGTATCTAGGGCAAAGACGGTTCTCTCCTACAGCTCCCCACACAATGGGGCATCTGAGAGCTGTAATATAAACATCAAATAACAATCATGAGCCAGAAACATATTACTTTCAGCAGTCCCCTCCTTTGTCAGTATTCACTATGGCAGATTTTCTTTCTGGCTGCTGTCAGTGAAAGTCTTAATGGCCTTTATTCATGAGTGTAGTGGCTTGTTCTCCACTGCTTTGAGAGCAGTGGGTTAAAGTGTACATTCCAGTACACGCAGGAGCTGTGGAGGGGTGGCTGGCATTACAGGGCTAAATAGTGTGGGCTGAATTACAAACGTTGGCCGTTCAAGAGCAGCACCAGAGTTAATGCAGCAAGCCGGAGCCAGTCGCTGTTGCCCTCGCACTGTAGGAAAATGAGGGGGCCGGCGGGTTTATGAAATGGGCCGCCAGAACGGGCCAGATTTGCCCTCAAATATTAACGCTGCCTCACCTGTGAACGTAGGGACCCGGCAACTCGGGGACCGCTTCCTCCGCTCTGCCCTCAAATGCTGGCGATTGCTGCTCTCTCCCCGCCCCGGCCGCGCTGGAGGCTGAGGACTTGCGCGGGTCAGACAAGTCGCTGAGGAGCTTTTTCCAGAGGCGCCCTCGCAGGCTGTGGCGGGCGGGCAGGGCTGCGCTAGCGAGTCTCCCGCCAGTAGCTCCGGGGCAGAGCGAGGAGGGGCAGGGACCGGACTCGCGGAGGCAGCGGGGCGGGAGAGCGCAGGGCCGAGCAGCGGCAGGGGGAGGCGAGGAAGGGAGACGCAGCCGCCCGGCAGGGGGCACAGCGGGGAGGACGGGAGCGGCGCCCCCGGACCCCTGGCTGACCGGGAGGCGGGATGCAGCGCTGGCAGTGAGCGGCGGGCGCTGGGCTGCAGCCGGGCGGTCCGGGTGCCGGCGGCAGGATGGGCTGCGGGGGGAGCCGAGCCGATGCCATCGAGCCGCGCTACTACGAGAGCTGGACCCGCGAGACCGAGTCCACCTGGCTGACGAACACGGACACCGAGCCCCCGCCGCCGGCCTGCGGCCACGAGAGCGCCCGCGCCGAGGCCGGGCTGCGGGAGCAGAGCGCGCCGCCCCCGGGTGAGTGATGGGCTGGGAGGGGGTCCGCGGGGCCGCAGCCAGAGCCCCTCATCCCCCGCCTGCTCTGAGCTGGGCCGGAGGGCTCCCACCCCCCAGCCCAGGAGCAGGCGCAGCCCTGGGCCCGTGAGCCGCAGCCCCCGAGCCGCCAGGACAGCCGGCTTTCAAACAGCGGCGCCGACTGCTTTGCTGGGAATCTGGCTGGCAAACAGCGCCTGCTGGAGCTCGCCATGAAACATGCGAGGGGTCGGGGAGATGTAGTGATGTGCGAGTGGCCCTTTCTGTCCCTCCTTACTACACCGCGGCGCTCGGCCCCGCGCGGCTGGGGGCGTACAGAAAATGTCCTCATATGTGAAGCAGCAGGCATTTGAGTCCACTACCCCCGCGATGGACGGACATGCCTATCTGAATCTCTTTATTCTCTTAGGAGTTCAATCAAACGCGTGAACACGGGATTGTGATTAGCACCAAGTCACTAGTATAGGTTGCCTATTTCTTTTTTTCCCGGGAAACGATTTTTCCCCCCAGCTATTAAGAAATGCAGGCATCTAAGTCTGTACTTTAAAACTTGTTGGTTACAGCAGCACTGCACCTCTCATAAAAAAAAAACCCAAACAAAATCAACCAAACAAACAAATGCTTCACGGGTCCCATAATATGCTTTCTTGTAGTTCTTGTGGACATGCATAACTAGGAACTTTCACATCCCTGCGCTCTTATTAGAAAAGAAGCTTGTTCTTTACCTATCATAATAGTTTTTTTAGGGAGAACATATAAATAGCATTAGTTTTGTGATAATCTCACTGGAAAAAAATGTGGCTTTTTGGTTTCTTGATGCAGAATAAATAGCCTTGCAAAACAATGGATAAGAAGTAGCACCAAATAGCCAAGCCTCCCCCACCCCAAACTGCTCATGAAAATAAAATTCTATGGACCATGACATTGCAGAAAATGAAATCGACCAGATCCAACTGTGTGAAGTAAAACAAATAGCCTAAAATTTTGACTTTTTTATGCTTGTCACATTGTTAACCAGCAATGAATCTAAGAATTTACAGTGGGGAAAAAGAGTGTGAGATTCCAAATGCAAGTGTTAGATAAATTTGATTCTGAAGGCATTTCAATCTGCCTATAGATCATAGAGAGAAAAGAGAAAACAGTTAAATTATTGCTTCTGTTTTTCTGGCAGATTGGGATTGTTCTTCCATTTGTTTGCATTGTTGGGACTGTGTTGGTCCAAGGATATTAGTGAAACGAAGTAGGTGGGGTAACATCTCTTATTGGATCAATGAAAAAAGCTTTCAATCTACATGGAGCTCCTCTTCAAGTCAACTATAATTTCACCCATCTTGTCTCTCTAATACATATGTTCTTGTGTTTCTTCCACTCACGTTTTTAAATACTCCAGATGATGGAAATGCCTAGTATGATGGTCAATATTTCAGGGTGGTCAAATATTGGAATAAATTGCCAAGGGAGGTGGTGGAATCTCCCTCTCTGGAGATATTTAAGAACAGGTTAGATAGACATCTGTCAGGGATGGTGTAGGTGGAGCTTGGTCCTGCCTTGAGGGCGGGGGGCTAGACTCGATGACCTCTTGAGGTCCCTTCCAGTCCATATTCTATGATTCTATGATCAGATGTCATGTTTTTAAAGGGCCAGTCCCATACATGAGCCCTCCTGCAGGTGTCCTGTCTTTTTCTTTAAAAGGGGCAAATTGTCCCATATTTTCTGTCTCCTCCCCCTGCCCCTTACCAGTACTGGCAGGTCCTGCTTCTGGCCAGATCCTTACCAGCCACCTGCCCTCTAGCAGTGAGTGAGGTGAGAGTCCAGTGGCCAGCCATGAGAATAGGTGTGCAAGGCTGGTGGCAGGGTAAAGACACAGTGCATGGGCCAGATGTTTCCCCACTGGTCCATCAGTGGAGCCTCTGCTGTGTGCGTGCTCTCAGTCAACAGGGTCCTGTCCTCCGTCCTGTTTCTAGCTGGCACTGGCTGTTCACCACTGCTGCACATCCATCAGCCCTTTATGTGCTTCCCTTCTCACTGTCCTTTCCCTGCTTTGCCCCTCCAGACTCCTCCACCAGCCCTGCTACTCTTCCATATCCCTGCTAGGGATGTTAAGTAGCGCTTCATTTGCTAGTTGAGTAGTCAATGGAATTTCTATTAACTACTCGACTAGTCGATAAGCACTTCCACATTCCACCTTTGAAATGTACAAGAGCCCTAGCAGGGATGCCGCGGGGACTTGGAGTGCTGCGTGAGCCCAGGGTCAGTGGGAAGCACATAAGGCTTCATCATGCAACTCCTTGGTTCTCTTCACTTGAGTTGTGTCACTGATTTCAGTGGAACTACTAGTACGAGTAAGGGTTTAGAACAGGAGTGGCAAATATTTTCAGAATATTCGCACATCTTTTCTCTCTGCCAGTATATTTAAGTCTGTTTGTGTACTTGCACTAGAAATAAATATGTGTGTAGCCAAGCCTATGGTATTTCATAACATTTTGGTGTAACTTTTTATGAAATAGAATTGCAATACAGTACTTTATGTCTAATTTCATCTTCCATCTCCCTCCATATTTCATCTTTCATTTCTTCCTGTTTTAGTTTCTTTTCTTTAGATTATTTCAGTCTTTTACTTCTTTTTAGCTTGAATGTTTAAAGAAATTAAAAATTTAAACATCTCTGTACTTTTCCCAAGAGTACACATAGAATAAGACTAATTGTTATAAACCAGTAAGTGAAATGTTGAAACTGTAAAAGAACAGATCTTTGACCAGGATCATAACAGAAGTAAAATATACTTACTAAGTAATTCATTGAAGTCCAAAACTGAGCCTTTGATAGCACCAAACAGCCCTGCATATTGAAGAGAGAGAGATGAAAATACAGGCAGCATTATGAAGCATTGCAGGTGGTGAAATTGAAAGAGACCTTTTTAGATAAGTTTGTCTTTTAACTTAGTATGAGTGATTTCTAAGAGTGAGAAATTAGATTTTCTAGCAGAACACTGATAAAAGCCTCCATTTCCTTTTAAACTGAGAACTTGTCACAATCTTTTTTTCCCAAGTTTTTGCTCAGGTTATAGTTGGGCATAATAATAGTGTTATTTTTCCTTAGAAGCATATAAGGCTTCATCATGCAACTCCTTGGTTCTCCTCACTTGAGTTATGTCACTGATTTCAGTGGAACTACTAGTATGAGTAAGGGTTGAGAACAGGGGTGGCAAACCTAAGGCACGGAGGCCAGATGTCACCCCTGGGTTGCCTGGATCTGGCCCCTAGGCTTAGGGCCTCCTCCAGCATTGGGGAGCCCATGCTGGCACTCCAACCTCCCTGCCACCTCCCCACAACTCTTGGCTCCTGACTGATTTTTCTGTGGGTCAGCAGCCACCGACCCAAAAAAGGTTCCCCACCCCCAGTTTAGAAGATCAGACAGTCTCCAGTAGGCTAATCCCCCACAAAAAAAGCTACAGGATAAATATTTTTCAAATAACTACTAAAACCGTAATGTGTCAGTTCATATTTATTTATAATTTGCTGCAAAAAATTTGATACACATCTAGTGTAAATGTAAACAGTCTATTAATTGCAAAACATTACTCTACATCAAAAACCATTAAGAGCTCCATTACCTAAATTGTATCTGAAAGCCAAACTCAGTATTTATTGCTCAGAGGTAGCTTCTTTTAATTCATTCTATGTCCACTCTCTCTGAAGTCAGCTGCCATGTTAAACTCAGATTTTGTTTATTTCAGAAACTGACTTTGATTGCTGAAACAAAATGCTGACTTATTTAAAAGGTCATGTAGTCTCTCCCTTTTGACTGACAGCTTCTCAGAGCACAGAATGTCTCTTATTATGCATTGTTAGAGCATCTTGCATGATGGGATCTACATCTTGCTTTAGGGTGCTGCCTCATTATAAATAATAATTCATATTTTAATTATCAAGAAGGTAAGTTAAGAGGATGCTGTAGTTAGTTAAGACCTAAAAGTAGGTTAAGAGCTAAAAAGTTGCATATTGATTGGCTCAGTACTTCAACTAGTTAAACACTATGGCTACGTCTACACTGGCCCCTTTTCCGAAAGGGGCATGCTAATTTTAAACTTCGTAATAGGGAAATCCGCGGGGGATTTAAATATCCCCCGCGGGATTTAAATAAAGATGTCCGCCGCTTTTTTCCGGCTTGTAGAAAAGCCGGAAAAGAGCGTCTAGACTGGCACTCTTATTCAAAGTAGGAATAAGAGATCCTCCGGAATAGGGCTTTATTCCGGAGGATCGGGCCAGTCTAGACGCACTTTTCCGGCTTTTCTACAAGCCGGAAAAAAGCGGCGGACATCTTTATTTAAATCCCGCGGGGGATATTTAAATCCCCCGCGGATTTCCCTATTACGAAGTTTAAAATTAGCATGCCCCTTTCGGAAAAGGGGCCAGTGTAGACGTAGCCTATTTCTTGATACAGTTAAGATTTCTTTTTTAATAACTTGAGTAATTTTGTTGTTTGACTTGAAAAAACAAACCTTTTTGTATTAGTTTTTATATACTTCACAATTGTAGCATATCAAAGAACATTAGCCTTAGTCTCTGAGGGATAGTACACCTGTATCTGTAGTCTGTATCTGCAAAAACAAGAAGGAGTTGTACGGAACCTTAAAAACTAACATATTTATTTGGGCATACATTTTCTTGGCTAAAAAACACTTCATCAGACACAATACATTTGTCAGTTTTTAATGTGCCATAAGACTCTTCATTGTATTAGCCACGCTATAATTTATGCAAATCAAGGTCAGCTAACCAACAATATCAGGCTGATATTTGGCATAATTGCTTCTATGTAGATGCATTTGTGTGTGCTTATGAAAAAATAGTTTTGTTCTGTTGATTTACTTGAGTAAAATACTGACTAAAGAATGATGATGTTCTACAAATGTGTGATTACTCACAGCGCCGGGAGAGGTTGAGAGATATATCTCTTTGGCATTTAGGCAGAAGATTCCTGATCAAGAATCAGCATACTTGAAATAAAATAAATAAGTTCAAAGCACTGGCCAAATTTTCTGTGGAAGTTTCTGAAAGTTGGCCTTCCCTTTTGTGTTGCTTTACAGCAGGAGAGACTGAAAGGAGATGTAGAAAACCAGGGTAGTTTGAACATTAGTTGCTATAACAACAGAGAGCAATATTGGTATTAACCACAGCTGCAATCATCTGCTGTTCCTTTCACCAGGTAAACATGAAATTAAAAGTTTAACATAAGGGAATAAATGACAATGAGGGTGCAAATGAAAATCTCATCTGGTGAAAAAGAAACATGTTTTATTAAATCATGTCTTTAAATATAATTTACAATAAACAATTTCTGCCAAAAAGCCCATTAATGCAATTGACAGGTTAGATAATATATAATAAGAACATGTTTATGACTTGCTCTATGTTTTTATATCTGTCTCCCCCCCCCCATCTCAATATGTTCATTTAAACTCTGGACTATATAGATAATGTGTCTATAAAGTTCCAGAGTTCATTTAAACTCTGGAATATATAGAATAATTATTCTAGTGTGTAATTGTTTAATAATAAGGAGCATTGTAGTGTCCAGCAAATAATTAGGACATCCTTACTGAGTGTAGATATATTCCAGAATTTTGTATAAATATTTAATGTTCTATTGTATTTTTAGATAATATGGCCCATTCTTTATTTTCAGTGGATTTTATTCTACACACTCAACATCCATTACCCATAACTTCTGCTGGAATATATTGTATTAAATATGTTAAGTTCTCAGCAATGAATAAGAGAGTAAAAGGGAGGAAGAAGAAGAGATGGCAGGAAAATGTCTAGTTTTCAGAAGTTTCAGAGGGGTAGCCATGTTAGTCTGTATCTTTAAAAAAACAATGAGTAGTCCTGGGGGCGGGGGCGGGGAGTGCCTGTCAATTGTAGTGCCAGAGTTAATAAGGCTAATTAAGTGGGCAGGAAGTGTCCCATACTTAGCTTTTGATGTCATTTGGGTGTGGAATGTAAGGATCCATTCAGTTTATGTCTTTGTTCAGGCCATGAGAGAGAGTGTCAAATTTGCATATGAAGGCCAGTTACAGTTTCTCTCTATTGATAGTTTTTGAAATTCCTTTGTAGAAGAATGGCTACTTTTAAATCCATTAATGAGTGCCCAGGTAGGTTATAATGTTCTCCTACAGGTTTTTGTGTATTACCATTTCTGATATCTGATTTGTGTCCATTCCTTTGTCGTAGAGACTGTCCAGTTTGGCCAATATACATGGCAGAGGGGCATTGCTGGCAACTGATGGCATAGATCACATGAGAAAGTGGCCTCTTTATGCAAAGTTGAGCAGACACTCTTTTCAAGCATCAGTATCTGTGCATGCAGGTGATGTATGAAACCACACATTTATTTGTACAGTGGGTTAGTGCAGATGCTGATGCATGCATAAAAGGATAGGTTGGGATAATGCCTGGGTTGAGACTACTTTACTGATCATGATTTGATGGGGATATTCTCCATGTAGGCTTTGAATGGCAGCAGGGCTTACAGAATACTCAGTACCCAGAAAAGAACATATAAATAAACCTCTGTGGCACCAGTACTTACATTACAAACAATATTAAATGTAAAAGCAAGTCAAAAGCAATCTGAAAAAGTGTAAGACACTGCTGCTTCAGAGGAATTAATCTGAACATGTAATTCATATATACCTCATAGTCCAGTGACAGCAAATTCAATTTTTCACAGACTGTCCACCAAAAGATTGATGGGATGTACTGTAGGGGCCACAAGGAAATAACACTCATGCACAGCATAACTACCTTTCTCCTTCAGTTTTCATGCCAAAAACAAGCTTCAGTTCAGCCTGTGAAGCAGGGAATTATAAATAATTATTCTTTTCATCTGCTGCTATTGAGGGTAAACAGGATATTTTGTGTAAAAGTGAAGGGAGCAAACCCACTGGAATTGAAACTACATTAAATATTTGCATTCATAACATCACAGCACAACACAACACATAATACATAACTTGAAATCCACTTAAGGTTTCCACTTTGTTACCTAAACTTTTATTTACAAAACATCAGCTTTAAATTAGACGTTGACCTAGCAGATAAAGAGGAACTGATCACAGAAGTAAAAGTTAATGATAGCTTAGGCACAAATGAACTTGATTTTATTATATTTATAATGTGCAAACATAATAAAGTTCACACCAGTAATGCAACATAACTCCTTCCTCTCCACACACATTGCTTTAATAGGACCAATTTCACAAAGCTGTGAGGAAGAATTTACTTAGAATCATAGAATCATAGAATAATAGGACTGGAAGGGACCTCAAGAGGTCATCGAGTCCAGCCCTCCGCCCTCAAGGCAGGACCAAGCTCCGTCTACACCATCCCTGACAGATGTCTATCTAACCTGTTCTTAAATATCTCCAGAGAGGGAGATTCCACCACCTCCCTTGGCAATTTATTCTAATATTTGACCACCCTGACAGTTAGGAATTTTTTCCTAATGTCCAATCTAAACCTCCCCTGCCGCACTTTAAGCCCATTACTCCTTGTCCTGTCCTCAGAAACCAAGAGGAACAAATTTTCTCCTTCCTCCTTGTGACACCCTTTTAGATATTTGAAAACCACTATCATGTCCCCCCTTAATCTTCTTTTTTCCAAACTAAACAAGCCCAGTTCATGAAGCCTGGCTTCATAGGTCATGTTCTCTAAACCTTTAATCATTCTTGTCGCTCTTCTCTGTACTCCTGTACGTGAGAGATAATTTGGCTGGGGCTGGTGTGCATAAGACCCTGGGCTGGGGCCACACCATGCTGCCTGTCTGTCCGTCTGGCACTGGGGGTACTGCACTGCCTGCTCAGTGCTCTGGGGCTGAGCATGTTCTGTATGCTGGGGCTCTCGGGCTGTCCTGCCTGTCCAGTGTGCAGGGGCTGGAGGCACATGGCAGGGAGGCAGCAGCCGTGGGGTTGTATGCACCAGGCTCCAGTGTGTGTGTGTGTGGGGGGGGGGGGCTCAGGTAGAAAGAGGCACGGCTCACCTCCCTCAAGGGTGCATTCACCTGTCATCCATCCTGGTTGTGGGACCCGATCTTGGGAAGCAGTGAATTAAGAAGATTTGGGGTGTCCTGATCAGTAATCAGCTGAACGTGAGCTGACTGCCCTAACCCCACCTCGTCCACCCGAGGCGGGGCACTGCCCCGGTACCAGTGAATTCTGTCACCATCCCTGGCTAATGCAGTTCTGGAACACACAATCAGGGAATCTTGAATAGGATTAAAGAAGTTATTTTGTCTCTCTTTAGCACTGATACAGCTAGAGCTAAAATGTTGTGTCTAGTTCTGGTGTCTGCAGTTTAAGAATGATGTTGATAAATTGGAGATGGTTCACTGAATAGCCATGGGAATGATTAAAGGATAGACTTAGGAAAATAAGAATGGCCATACTGGGTCAGACTAATTCTCCATCTCGCTAATATCCTGTCTTCTAACAGTTGCCAGTGCCAGCTGCTTCAGAAGCAATGAGCAGAAAAGGGTTATTTTGAGTGATCCATAAAAGTCCAAGCTTTTGGCAATTGGACGTTAAGAACTCATAGATCTCAGTCTACTTAACAAAGAGATAGTTAAGATGTGACTTGATTCCAGTCTATAAGTATCTATAAGTGAAACTAATTTTTAATACAATGAAAGCTTGGTTATCCAGCACGCATAGGAAATGCTGGTTGCAGGTTACTTTAATGTGCCATTTATTCAAGCAAAGGGTTAGGTATACTCCGAAGGCAAAGGCAGCTTGAGGCAGGCTGAGGGGGAAGGAGGCGCTTGCTGATGATGTCAGCCAGTAGTCCCAGCTGTCAGAAACCCTGCAACAACCAGTGGTGTCAAGTCGTCTGACTGGACAGGTGGGAGTCAGGCTCGCACACACCTGAAGACATGGCAGTATTGTGGCTGGGGGGAAATGCTGGTTAACAAAGTTTTCTGGTTAACAAAGTGCCGGATAACAAAGCTTTCACTGTAATGGGTTCTTCAGTCTAGCAGAAAAAGGTTTAACTCAATCCAATGGCTGAAAATAAGCATTACTTTTTAACAGTTAGGGTTATTAGCCATTGAAACAATTTACAAGGATCATACATTCTCAATCATTGACAATTTTTCAATCAAGATAGAAAAACATCCAGAGAGATATGTTCCAGAAATTATTTTGGGGAAGTTCTATGGACTGTGCTGTATCAAAAGTCAGACAATGGTTTCTTCTAGTCTTGCTTATTAAGTATGTGAATAGTTTATAAAGTCAATGTATTGCTGGCCATAAAGGGAAAACCTTCATCCAGTTCTACAGATATTGTATAACAATTTTTCATGCCACTTTCGGCACTATCCTTCCAGCGATCAGACTAACACCACCATCTCTGTGAAATTAAGATGGCATTATATTAATGACCTACATTAGAAGCTGGAAATTTGTAGATCAGGAAAAATAACAGTAATATCTCAGTTGAGGAGTAAGGACAGTATTTTAGCAATATTTACTTGGTAAATCCAGTTTTTTCTAACAAGCTTTTATATTGGTTTGATTTATTTATAGCTTCATAGATTCCGAGGCCAAAAGAGGCCACTTTGATCATCTAATCTGACCTCTTATAAAACAGGCTAAAGAGCTTCCCCACATCTTCCAGCCTTTAATCTTCTTTTTGTTAAATTAGTTGAGCTCCTTGAGTCTAGCATTCTAAAGCATGTTTCTAATCCACCAGTCATTCTTGTGGATCTTCTCTGAACCCTCTCCAATTTGCCAACTTAATTCTTGAATTGCAGGCACCAGAACTAGATTCCAGCTCTGACTGCAGCAATGCCAAGTTTAGAAGTGAAATAATTTCTCTACTCCTACTCAAGACTCCACTGTTCATGCATCTCAGGATTGCATTTGCTCTGTGCCTGTAATGCAGCATTATATTATGTTTATGATACTGTATTGCTTAATTATAAAGCAACATAGGAATTGCTGTACTGGATCAGACCTATGGTCCATCTACTCTAGTATCCTGTCTTTATGGATAGCACCAGATACTTCAGAGAAAGGTTTAAAAACCTTGTATTAGGTAGATGTGAGATAACCGGAGCTCAAAACGTTCTCATCCTAATTTCTAATAGTTAGAGATTTAAACTCAGAAGCATTAAGTTGAGAACATCACTTTGGGAGCTCATGTTCAGTTGATTATTAGCAAGACCCCCAATTTTTTTCAGAGACATTGCTTCACAGGATTGATCCTGTAAGTGTGGCCTACATTCTTTATTCCTAGATGTAAATGTTACAATCAAATTGTGTATTGTTTGCTTGCACCAAGTTTACCAAGCCATTCGGATGACTTTTTATCAATAACTTGATCTCTTGTTTACCACTCCTTCAATTTGTGTCATCTGCAAACTTTTCCAGTTATGAGTTTGTTTTCTTGTAGGTCATTGATAAAAATGTTAACTTGCATAGCACCAAGTCCCTCTAGAACAGTGTTTTTTAAACGTTTTAAGACTGAGGAACACCAATCGATAACTTTTTTTATAAGGAACACCAAGGATATTTTGTTGAGAAAAAAAAAGTCAGGGGAAAAGTTATTGAAGAAAAAAAGTCGCCTGCCCCTTTAAGGGTGGCCATTTTTAATTCTGTTGTTCTCTGCAGCACACCTCCAACTGCCTCGTGACACACTGGTGTACCATGGAACACAGTTTAAGAAACACTCCTCTAGAAACACAACCGTTCAATTTTCATTTCAGTTATATTGAGATGTCAGCCAGTTTCCAATCCATTTAATGTGTGCCATGTTAATTTTGTATTCTAATTTTTAATCAGAATACAATGTGATATCAAGTCAAAGGCTTTGCAGTGGTCTATTAATTTACACCATTACCTTTATCAACCAAAACTGCACTCTCATTATATAAAGATAACAAGTTATTTTGACTTGCTCTATTTTCCTTAAATCTTTGTTGGTTGGCATTACAGTAAAACTCCCAATTATCTGCCATCCAGTGGTCCGGCACTCCCAATAGTCCAGCACCAACTGGAACCCATAAGTGCTCCAGCCAGCTGGACAATTGGAGCTGCTTCACGCCACTTCCTCAAGTCCGCTGCTGCCGCTGCTGAAACTGACCAGTGGTGGACTTGGGGAAGCCCTGGGGCAGAACAACTGAGGTGCTGCTTGGTTGGTCCCGTAGCGCCGCTCAGGTGAGGGGTGGTGCTGGGGGACCAACCCGGCAGCACCCCAGCTGCTCTGCCCCACAGCTTCCCCATGTCCAACGCTGCTGAAACTGACGAGTGGTGGACTTGGGGAAGCCCTGGGGCAGAACAACTGAGGTGCTGCTTGGTTGGTCCCGTAGCGCCG